ACTTCAGGGTATTGACTCCGGCAGTCTGCCTCCCTCCAGCATAGGGAAGAGTCCTGCTTGCAAATGATGATGTTATTGTCCGTTGTCTCCCCGGCAGGAGGAAGACCCAAACTTTGCCTCCCAGCGGCAGGTGTACAAGGACATCGGCGAGGAGATGCTCCTGCATGCGTTTGAAGGATACAACGTCTGTATCTTCGCCTACGGACAGACCGGGGCCGGAAAGTCGTACACCATGATGGGCAAACCAGAGCCGGAGCAACATGGCATCATCCCCCAGGTACTGAGTGTGTGACGTGTATAGGGGAGGGGCACTGACTACATGTCTATACTGAAAGAGGAGACCCTGGATCAGCCTTCAGGTCCTGGCTGTATGAAGTGTACAGGGTAGGGGTGCTGATTATGTGACTGTACTGAAAGGAGTGGACCAAGATGGCTGTGTGATGTGTACAGGGTAGGGGTGCTGATCATGTGACTGTACTGAAAGGAGTGGACCAAGATGGATGTGTGATGTGTACGGGGTAAGGGTGCTGATCATGTGACTACTGAAAGGAGTGGACCAAGATGGCTGTGTGATGTGTACAGGGTAAGGGTGCTGATCATGTGACTACTGAAAGGAGTGGACCAAGATGGATGTGTGATGTGTACAGGGTAGGGGTGCTGATCATGTGACTACTGAAAGGAGCGGAACAAGATGGCTGTGTGATGTGTACAGGGTAGGGGTGCTGATCATGTGACTACTGAAAGGAGCTGGCCAAGATGGCTGTGTGATGTGTACAGGGTAGGGGTACTTTGGTCATCTGATTATAAGAGTCACTGGGTTGACCCTCAGTTATTGGTCTTGGTGGGAAGTGTCGGGGGTCATCTATTCATGGGATGCCAGAAGGGTTTGCTATATCCCAGATATATTGTCATGGGAACTATGGTGGGGGGGTGTTGGGCCCGTATCATTGCCCCGTATCATTGCCCCCTAGGCACACTGGTAATGTGATATTAAGGTGCATGAGAACTATTAGGTATAATGACTGAGTGTATTGCAATGACCGATCTCTCTCTTTTCTTTGCAGTTATGTGAAGATTTATTTGCCCGAGTCAGCAGTAACAAGAGCCCGGATCTGTCCTACTCTGTGGAGGTAAGAGGCTGCGTATACTTCATGCCAAAACTTCACTATAAGGCAGCTCAGTTATTACCACTCTGGTATTCCCGGAGCCCTGCTGTCATCTCCCAACAGACCTGTGCATGGAGTTTGTATGTTTTCCCCAGGTGCTCTGGTGTAATCACAGTCCAGAATAATGTATAATAGTGTGTGACTGTCGGGGGGGGGGGGAGGGGGGGTGTTTTCTCCCCTCCAGACCTCTGCTGAGCCCCCCACCCAGCTTTTGTGCACCAGTAGCCCTGACCAGACTTCCTCTTCTTCTCCGTCCAGGTCAGCTACATGGAAATCTACTGTGAGCGAGTCCGTGATCTGCTGAGCCCCAAGAGTAAAGGGAACCTCCGGGTCAGAGAGCACCCCATTATGGGCCCCTACGTGGAGGACCTGTCTAAGCTGGCGGTGACGTCCTACGACGATATTGCTGACCTCATGGACTGCGGGAATAAGGCCAGGTAACCGTCTGGTTATGAAAGGCAACTAAAACCTTCTTCTTCATCTCCACAAATGGGGGAAAAAAGAGATTTGGATCGTATTTTAACAGCAGAGCTCCAGCCAAACCAGATAATAATAAACAGCCTGTTACCCAACTTGCTGCCACAGGCATAAGCGCTACATCCGTGGAAGTGGGGGGCTGTGTACAGACTCTCGGATGCTATAGCACAGTGCTTCTCAACCTGTGTAACCTCCGGACCCACATTTGTCCTCGGTCATTAAGTCGCACTGCAATGGAATGCACAGCATTGCAGTACCGCGCGTATCGGCCTGTGGGCGGGAGGTACGTTTTTGGGGTGTCATTCAAATGAATGGCCACGCAACACTCCAATTGTGCATGGGACTGTGCGATTAACGCACTGTATTTGCATGAACGGACCCTCAAAAACACTGACAGACATGCACACTCCCTGCCTTATGAGTACTGGAGCGTTCCTCAGCCTGGGGTGCAGTGTGGGCTGCTGTGCTGTGATGGAGCTCCATGCATATGTGCATTGCTTGTACAGCTCCCATGTGCACCCTGTACAGGGCACATGTGAGGGAGCTGTAAGCAATGCACATATGGATGGAATTCCCTTATGGCCATACTTCCAGCCCACCCCACCTCAAGCTGACACCTAGGGCCGGGCAGCATATTTTGAATGGCTGCTCGGCGTGAGAACTGACAGTGCTGCGCTAGGGGGAGGCTGAGGACTGTCCAAACCTAGAAAAGTGGAAGGCACGCGGCGACCCACTGAACACGGGGTCGCGACCCACTTTTTGGCTCACGACACACCAGTTGAGAGCCAAGGCTATATTGGATGGGAAGTTATTTACACTCCCTCAGCTGTCTGCGGGCTTTCAGGTAGAAGTATTTGCAGCCGCCCGATCACTTCTTAAAGGAGAACTATGAGATGAGTGATTTCCACTCACCTCATAGTTCTAGCCGACCTGTGACAATGAGACTGTCACAGGTCGGCTCAGTAGATCGGGAGGTGAGCGAACACATACCAGGTTCGCTCACCTCTCGATCCTGTCA